GGTTTGGATATCTGACTTAATAAATCATTCCATTGACTAACAGAAATATTATAGTTAGGTACAATATATACCGAAATTATAGATAGTTGATGTTTTCCTGCACAAAATTCTATACCAGATATTTGGAATTTATTTATATCAATTGTTCCCGTATTAAAAGCTAATACTTTGTTTATAATTATTTCATTCTTAACTAGAATTGCAGTACCACCATACCCATCTTTTCTGTCACTGCGCACAGTCTTATATCCCCTGAGCGAAAATTTCCTATCACTCTTCAACCATGTTTCTGAAAATGTAGCAATATGTACTTTGTTTTCAAATAAGAAATGCTCAATACTACTTTTGTTATGTATCAAAGACCTACAGTTGAATTGTAGAATATTTGTTACCATAAAATAAATTGTAATTGTGATTGTATAATTTTCTTTTGCACATTTTCCATGCGCTCATTAACCTTAATTTCTCTTATTGTTGTCCACATCTCCTTCACTACCTATTCTATTCATTACCTCTCTTAACATTTTGTTGATGTCTTTATTATTAGGTTTGTAGTGTTTTTTAACTAGTTTGATAAATAAATTCAAAAATTCATCGGTATGTTCTTCATTGACGTTCTTTATGGTATCTACTTCTTTCTCTTTGTCTTTGTTATCAACTTCATTCCTAGTGGATACTCGATATTTTTCTCTAAAACCTTCCCTATCTGTATGCACCCTGTTCCTTTCACTTGATTCCCCTTTTGATTTATCTTCTTTTCTATTAATTATATTATTATATTTGGTTCTTTCTTGTTTTTTGGCAATGTTTCTCTTGAAGGGTCTTGTAGATGTACTGTACAATATTGATGTGCTGGCCGATACCGGTTCATCATTGTTATCTTCCAGGTCAGATAAAATTTCAAATTTATTTCTAAGAATGTTGTTGTTAATTTGTAAACTTTTCCTGCTTTCTGTGCTTATCACTGGGAAATTCTTTTCTTTGTCTAAATTGGTTAGACTACCTCTGGTTATTCTGGCATACTTGTTGTTTTCTACAACTGACCTTGCTTCGTGAAAAGCTAAGTTTTGTGTTGCCATTATTTCATATATTTTCTTATATTTCATAAATATTGGGCATTCCCTATTATATGCTGCATGTTTACCAAAACACAAGCAGCATCTTAAATCGTCCGTATTTATGCAATCTTGTAAGGCGTGATTTTCTGCGCATTTTGGACATCTTACCTCTCCTCGACACTGATCACGAACGTGGCCGAATCTCCAACATTTGTGGCATTGTATTACTTTTTTCACGAATGGTGTTACTGGGCATTTAACAGAGTGGATCGCTACTTTTTCTGGTAATTTTGTCCCTTTAAAAGTGAGTTTAACACACTGTGATTTGTATGTCTTATGATTTTCTTTTTTCGATCTTATACATTTAACTCCCACTATCGGATACTCGGATTCGATGACATCCACAATTTCTTCCTCAGATAATTCGCTATCTACGTCAAAAATGATTCCGGTCCGCACCGTTAAATATTTGGGGATATACGCTCTTAGATTATTCGATTTGAAAAAATCACCATCTAATAGTCTATTAGCTGTCACACCATTACTTAAAATCAATTTTACTTTGTTTTTACCAATTACTCCAATTTCTTCCAAATTTGTTTTCATATTTGGCCATGCATCATGAATTTTTTTTCCAAGTGCCATAGGATGCAGGCGTCCTATGTTTTTATTATAAGATTCTACGTATATTATATATGGTCCTTTATCGTAACTGTCATATCGTACTTTATCCTGTTCGTAATTGTCGGGCATCATTTCGTTTTCTTTGTCATTATGTTTTGTTATTTTACTCGAGTCCTCACCACAATTATCAAATTGCATTACGTTATCTAACTCATGAAAGTCATGCAACATTTTATCATTCTGATCATTTATTTCGGTATTACTCGACCCCGCACTAATATTTTCATTGGTCATTTCTTCGTTGTTTGCATAAGTTGTTGTTTCACTTAAATCCTTATCGCACTCATCAAATTGCATAACGCTACTTAATTCTTGACTGTTCCGATTTGCTTCAGTATTCTGATTGATATTTACAATATTCGATACCATAGTATTTCTTTCATTACTTGTTCCATTACTATTATTATAATTTGAAATATCACTATTATTTGTTATCTTAGACGCCGTGTCATTGTTATTATTTCCAACAGTATGTATAATATTTTCGGTTCTTCTAAGTTTGGTTGCACTTTTGCCAATTACTTTATTCATAATTTTTAATTTATTATCTTCCTTAATTGTTTTATTTTTGTTACTGTTCTTTTTATCTTTACTATCTGATATTGCAGAAATTCTGGTATGTTTTTTATACTTATGTAATAATCTGTTCTTAATTACATCTACCTCACTCATGATGCTACTAGGATTTTTGTTTGAATTATAATGTACTTCTAATTCTTCTTCACTAATTTCACTCATTAACATTTCATTATCAAAACTATCATTTATCGTATTCATTGCCGTTGCAATTGTTTCACCGATTACCGAACACTTTGTTGAACAATCGGGCGGCCGTCCGCCTTCTTGTCCGTATTGTCCGGATTCCATTACGTCACTTTTTTAATATATATTCACTGAACACTTGTCGATGTTACCTGCTCCGAGGTCAAACACAAACTACGAGGGCATATTATTTACTACAATAATGTATATTGGATCGAGAATATGTTATTTACTACATTGTTGTACATTGGATGCAACACAAACACGCACTGGGTAGAGTATGTCGCTCGTTGGTCTAGGGGTATGATTTCCGCTTTGGGTGCTGGAGGTCCCGGGTTCAAATCCCGGACGAGCCCGGACATTTATTCAAATTCGAGTACCTATTATTTACTACAATGTTGAACATTGGATGCAACACAAACACGCACTGGGTAGAACATGTGGTTTGTTGGTCCAGGGGTATGATTTCCGCTTTGGGTGCTGGAGGTCCCGGGTTCAAATCCCGGACGAGCCCGGACATTTCTTCAAATTCGAGTACCTATTATTTACTACAATGTTGAACATTGGATGCAACACAAACACGCACTGGGTAGAACATGTGGTTCGTTGGTCCAGGGGTATGATTTCCGCTTAGGGTGCGGGAGGTTCCGGGTTCAAATCCCAGACGAGCCCGGACATTTCTTTAAATTTGAGCACATATTATTTACTACAATAATGTATATTGGATCGAGAATATATTATTTACTATAATGTTGTACATTGGATGCAACACAAACACGCACTGTATAGAACCTGTGGCTAGTTGGTCTAGGGGTATGATTTTGGCTTAGATAATAAACGTAAGTGGCAAATCATGTGTAAAATGTGTTTATTGAGTATACCGCGTGGCTCGTTGGTCTAGGGGTATGATTTCCGCTTAGGGTGCGGGAGGTTTCGGGTTCAAATCCCGGACGAGCCCGGACATTTCTTTAAATACGAGCGCATATTATTTACTACAATAATGTATATTGGATCAAGAATATGTTATTTACTATAATGTTGTACATCGGATGCTACACAAACACGCACTGGGTAGAACCCGTGGCTAGTTGGTCTAGAAGTATGATTTTGGCTTAGATAATAAACGTAAGTGGCAACTCATGTGTAAAATGTGTTTATTGAGTATACACTCTGGCTCGTTGGTCTAGGGGTATGATTTCCGCTTAGGGTGCTGGAGGTCCCGGGTTCAAATCCCGGACGAGCCCGGACTTTCCTTCAAATTCGGGCACATATTATTTACTACAATGTCGAACATTGGATGCAACACAAACACGCACTGGGTAGAACATGTGGTTCGTTGGTCTAGGGGTATGATTCCCGCTTTGGGTGGGGAGGTCCCGGGTTCAAATCCTGGACGAGCGCGGGCATTTCTTTGAATTCGAGCGCATATTATTTATTACATGAGGGTACAGCGTTTCAAAAGCTGACTCCTACTATTATCAAGAAGCGATAAGGGCCTCCGTGGCGCAATTGGCTAGCGCGTTCGGCTGTTAATCGAAAGGTTGGTGGTTCGAGCCCACCCGGGGGCGTAAAGTAGTTATTATTTATACTCTGGAATATTCAATGCATATTGTTTATACCCCAATAGTATTTGATGATTAGCATCATATATGTAGTTTATACGAGCCCGGACATTTCTTTAAATTCGAGCACATATTATTTACTACAGTATTGTATAGTGGATCGAGAACATATTATTTACAACAATGTTGTACATTGGTTCCAACACAAACATGCACTGGATAAAACCCGTGGCTTGTTGGTCTAGGGTTATGATTTCGGCTTAGATATTAAACGTAAGTGGCAAAACATGTGTAAATGTGTTTATTGAGTAGAACCCGTGGCATGTTGTACATTGGATGCAACACAAATACGCAGTGGGTACAACCCGTGGCTCGTTGGTCTAGGGGTATGATTCCCGCTTCAGGTGCGGGAGGTGCCGGGTTCAAATCCCGGACGAGAACATATTATTTACAACAATGTTGTACATTGGTTCCAACACAAACATGCACTGGATAAAACTCGTGGCTTGTTGGTCTAGGGTTATGATTTCCGCTTAGATATTAAACGTAAGTGGCAAATCATGTGTAAAATGTGTTTATTGAGTAGAACCCGTAGCATGTTGTACATTGGATGCAACACAAATACGCAGTGTATGATTTCCGCTTTGGGTGCGGGAGGTCCCGGGTTCAAATCCCGGACGAGCCCTGACATTTCTTTAAATTGGAGTGCCTATTATTTACTACAATGTTGTACATTGGATCAAACACAAACACGCACTGGGTATAACCCGTGGCTCGTTGGTATAGAGGCTTGTTGAGTAGACCGCGTGTCTCGCTGGTCTTGGGGTATGATTTCCGCTTAGGATGCGGGAGGTCCCTTTAAATTCGAGCACATATTATTTACTACAATGTTGTACATTGGATGCAACACAAACACGCACTAGGTAGAATACTTCGCTCGTTGGTCTAGGGGTATGATTTTCGCTTTGGGTGCGGGAGGTCCCGGGTTCAAATCCCGGACGAGCCCGGACATTTCTTCAAATCGAGTACCTATTATTTACTACAATTTTTTATATAGGATCGTTGGTCTAGGGGTATGATTTCTGCTTAAGGTGCGGGTAGTCCCGGGTTCAACTCCCAGGCGAGTCCGGACATTTCTTTAAATTCAAGTACTTATTATTTACTACAATATTGTATATTGGATCGAAAATATATTATTTACTACAATGTTGTATATTGTATCCAACACAAACACGCACTGGGTGAAACCGGCGGCTCGTTGGTCTTGGGGTATGATTTCAGTTTTGGGTGCGGGAGGTCCCGGGTTTAAATCCCGGACGAGCTCGGACATTTCTTCAAATTCGAGTACCTATTATTTACTATAATGTTTTATATTGGATCGTTGGTCTAGGGGTATGATTTCTGCTTAAGGTGCGGATGTCCCGGGTTCAAATCCAGGACGAGCCCGGACATTTCTTTAAATTCGAGTACATATTATTTACTACAATGTTGTACATTGGATGCAACATGGGTTATAGATTAGTGTAGATATAAGTTCCATGTTAGAATAAGCAATGTTTTAGGATAAGTGATTATTAAAAGTAAATATAGGTTAGTTAATTAAGTAACGAACAAACGCCTTTTCATTAGTAATATTTAAAGTTTAACCGAAAGGTTGGTGGATTGCACCTACCCGGGGGCGTACAACTCGTGGGTACAACTCGTAGCTCGTTGGTCTAGGCGTATGATTCCCGCTTTGAGTGCGGGAGGTCCCGGGTTCAAATCCCGCACGAGCCCTGACATTTCTATAAAATGGAGTGCCTATTATTTACTAAAATGTTGTACATTGGATCCAACACAAACACGCAATGGGCAAATCATGTGTAAAATGTGTTTATTGAGATGTGTTACTATTATCAAGAAGCGATAAGAGCCTCCGTGGCGCAATTGGCTAGGGCGTTCGGCTGTTAACCGAAAGGTTGGTGGTTCGAGCCCACCCGGGTGCGTAAAGTAGTTATTATTTATACTCTGGAATATTCAACGCATATTGTTTATACCCAATAGTATTTGATGATTATATTATTCATCATATATGTAGTTTACACGAGCCCGGACATTTCTTTAAATTCGAGCACATATATACAATAATATATATTATTATATACAATTATATATATATAATAATGTATATGGATCGAGAATATGTTATTTACTATAATGTTGTACATTGGATGCAAGACAAACACGCACTGGGTAGAACATGTGGTTCGTTGGTCTAGGGGTATGATTCCCGCTTTGGGTAGGGGAGGTCCCGGGTTCAAATCTTTGACGAGCGCGGGCATTTCTTTCAATTCGAGCGCATATTATTTATTACATGGGGGTACAGCGTTTCAGAAGCTGTCCCTCAAACCGAAAGTAGACTTTGTATAGTTTGTATAGTTTATAGGAGTGAAGTAAATGTTAACTATTTGTGTGTGAAGTGAATCGGGCCCGATGTATGGACAGGTATTGGGCACTGGTTGCGCCGTGGGTTACAGATTAGTGTAGTTTAATGGGTATAAGAAGAATTGTTGTTTATACTCATTATTGTTCAATAATTATAATTATTGTTTATGCTATATATAATTTACTCCTACTATTATCAAGAAGCGATAAAAGCCTCCGTGGCGCAATTGGCTAGCGCGTTCGGCTGTTAACCGAAAGGTTGGTGGTTTGAGCCCACCCGGGGGCGTAAAGTATTTATTATTTATACTCTGGAATATTCAATGCATATTGTTTATACCCAATAGTATTTGATGATTATATTATTCATCATATATGTAGTTTACACGAGCCCGGACATTTCTTTAAATTCGAGCACATATTATTTACTACAGTATTGTATATTGGATCGAGAACATATTATTTACAACAATGTTGTACATTGGTTCCAACACAAACATACACTGGATATAACCCGTGGCTTGTTGGTCTAGAGTTATAATTTCGGCTTAGATATTAAACGTAAGTGGCAAATCATGTGTAAAATGTGTTTATTGAGTAGAACCCGTAGCATGTTGTACATTGGATGCAACACAAATACGCGGTGCGTACAACTCGTGGCTCGTTGGTCTAGGGGTATGATTCCCGCTTTGGGTGCGGGAGGTCCCGGGTTCAAATCTCGGACGAGCCCTGACATCTCTTTGAGTTCGAGTGCTTATTATTTACTACAATGTTGTACATTGGATCCAACACAAACACGCACTGGATAGAACCCGTGGCTTGTTGGTATAGAGGTTTATTGAGTAGACCGCGTGGCTCGCTGGTCTTGGGGTATAATTCCCGCGGGAGGTCCCGGGTTCAAATCCCGGACGAGCCCGGATATTTCTTCAAATTCGAGTACCTATTATTTACTACAATGTTTTATATTGCATCGTTGGTCTAGGGGTATGATTTCTGCTTAAGGTGCGGATGTCCCGGGTTCAAATCCCGGACGAGCCCGGACATTTCTTTAAATTCGAGTACATATTATTTACTACAATGTTGTACATTGGATGCAACATGGGTTACAGATTAGTGTAGATATAAGTTCCATGTTAGAATAAGCAATGTTTTAGGATAAGTGATTATTAAATGTAAATATAGGTTAGTTAATTAAGTAACAAACAAACGCCTTTTCATTAGTAATATTTAAAGTTTAACCGAAAGGTTGGCGGATTGCACCTACCCGGGGGCGTACAACTCGTGGGTACAACTCGTGGCTCGTTGGTCTAGGGGTATGATTCCCGCTTAAGGTGCGGGAGGTTTCGGGTTCAAATCCCGGACGAGCCCGGACATTTCTTTAAATACGAGGGCACATTATTTACTACAATAATGTATATTGGATCGAGAATATGTTATTTACTACATTGTTGTACATTGGATGCAACACAAACACGCACTGGGTAGAGTATGTCGCTCGTTGGTCTAGGGGTATGATTTCCGCTTTGGGTGCTGGAGGTCCCGGGTTCAAATCCCGGACGAGCCCGGACATTTCTTCAAATTCGAGTACCTATTATTTACTACAATATTGAACATTGGATGCAACACAAACACGCACTGGGTAGAACATGTGGTTTGTTGGTCCAGGGGTATGATTTCCGCTTTGGGTGCTGGAGGTCCCAAGTTCAAATCCCGGACGAGCCCGGACATTTCTTCAAATTCGAGTACCTATTATTTACTACAATGTTGAACATTGGATGCAACACAAACACGCACTGGGTAGAACATGTGGTTCGTTGGTCCAGGGTATGATTTCCGCTTAGGGTGCGGGAGGTTCCGGGTTCAAATCCCAGACGAGCCCGGACATTTCTTTAAATTTGAGCACATATTATTTACTACAAAATGTATATTGGATCGAGAATATATTATTTACAATAATGTTGTACATTGGATGCAACACAAACACGCACTGTATAGAACCTGTGGCTAGTTGGTCTAGGGGTATGATTTTGGCTTAGATAATGAACGTAAGTGGCATATCATGTGTAAAATGTGCTTATTGAGTGTACCGCGTGGCTCGTTGGTCTAGGAGTATGATTTCCGCTTAGGGTGCGGGAGGTCCCGGGTTCAAATCCCGGACGTACCCGGACTTTTCTTGAAATTCGAGCACATATTATTTACTACATGTTGAACATTGGATGCAACACAAACACGGACTGGGTAGAGTATGTCGCTCGTTGGTCTAGGGGTATGATTTCCGCTTAGGGTGCGGGAGGTGCCAAATTTCTTTAAATTCGGTACATATTATTTACTACAATATTGTATATTGGATCGAAAATATATTATTCACTACAATGTTGTACAGTGTATCCAACACAAACACGCACTGGGTGAAACCGGCGGCTCGTTGGTCTACATATTATTTACTACAATAATGTATATTGGATCGAGAACATATTATTTACTACAATGTTGTACATTGGATGCAACACAAACACGCACTGGATAGAACCCGTGGCTAGTTGGTCTAGGGGTATGATTTTGGCTTAGATAATAAATGTAAGTGGCAAATCATGTGTAAAATGTGTTTATTGAGTATACCGCGTGGCTCGTTGGTCTAGGGTATGATTTGCGCTTAGGGTGCGGGAGGTTTCGGGTTCAAATCCCGGACGAGCCCGGACATTTCTTTAAATACGAGCGCATATTATTTACTACAATAATGTATATTGGATCAAGAATATGTTATTTACTATAATGTTGTACATCGGATGCTACACAAACACGCACTGGGTAGAACCCGTGGCTAGTTGGTCTAGAAGTATGATTTTGGCTTAGATAATAAACGTAAGTGGCAACTCATGTGTAAAATGTGTTTATTGAGTATACACTCTGGCTCGTTGGTCTAGGGGTATGATTTCCGCTTAGGGTGCTGGAGGTCCCGGGTTCAAATCCCGGACGAGCCCGGACTTTCCTTCAAATTCGGGCACATATTATTTACTACAATGTCGAACATTGGATGCAACACAAACACGCACTGGGTAGAACATGTGGTTCGTTGGTCTAGGGTATGATTCCCGCTTTGGGTGGGGAGGTCCCGGGTTCAAATCCTGGACGAGCGCGGGCATTCCTTTGAATTCGAGCGCATATTATTTATTACATGAGGGTACAGCGTTTCAAAAGCTGACTCCTACTATTATCAAGAAGCGATAAGGGCCTCCGTGGCGCAATTGGCTAGCGCGTTCGGCTGTTAATCGAAAGGTTGGTGGTTCGAGCCCACCCGGGGGCGTAAAGTAGTTATTATTTATACTCTGGAATATTCAATGCATATTGTTTATACCCAATAGTATTTGATGATTATATTATTCATCATATATGTAGTTTACACGAGCCCGGACATTCTTTAAATTCGAGCACATATTATTTACTACAGTATTGTATATTGGATCGAGAACATCTTATTTACAACAAGTTGTACATTGGTTCCAACACAAACCACACACTGGATAAAACCCGTGCTTGTTGGTCTAGGGTAATAATTTCGGCTTAGATATTAAATGTAAGTGGCAA